GGTGATGTGTGTATGTGTGTGTGTGTGTGTGTGTGTGTGTGTGTGTGTGTGTGTGTAATATTCAGATTAAACAAGGGCTCAGGATAAGTTTGCATTTTTATGACCATATTTCCCAACACTTGGTTAAATATAATCACTTAAATAAATGGTTTTTCAGCACAATACCAGGGTATACCTTATATTTTCTCATACTTGCTAGTGGTTATAAAATTTATTTTTATTGCTATACTAATAAGATTCCAGGCTAATGCCCACAATGTTATTTATGTAGCCTTTATTGTAGCCTTTATTGTGCCTTGTTAAATTTTTTTAACCTATCTTTGATTAGTCATGTAATATTAAACATGGCTCTTTGTATCGGTAAGCATTTATTAAGCACCTACCTTCTAAGCCAGTTTATGAGGTGCTGCAGGAAAATAATGTGTTCAATGTAGCGTTTTTCCTCAAGTTACTCACAGCCTAGAGTGGGTGGCAGGCTTGTGATTCATCGAAGTACAATGTACTAAGTAATAAGATCAAGGTAAATGCCAGTACTCTGACAATGTAAGATGCCCACCATGCTCGGATAGGAAATGCTTTACAGAGAAATCATGCTAAGCTACGTTTTGAAAGTGTCATCCTAGTTTTCCATAAATGGAGCTAAGTGAAATGTAGATGAGATAAGAGACCCATACTGAAAGGAACCTTGAAATGACTTATAATGAATTTGAGTTTTATCCTGAATTCAATGAGAAACCACTGAAAATTTTAAACAAAAGAGAGCAAAAATCAAGTATACATTTTCAAGAAATTCCTGTATTGCTTTGTGGGGGATAGATAAAAGGGAAACAGACTGGAGACAGGTAAACAAGAAAGGAAACTGTTGAAATAACTTAAACTAGGAAATAAACAGATTGCTCTTAAGTCTCATGGTTGGAAGACAGCATGGTACCACTGGCTAAAGCCAAAATTCTGGCCAACAGGCTTGGGCTCAGATGCACCTTACAACTTACATGATGCTTGAGTGTACACGATTTTAGGTTGCACAGTCTCATTCAGTTAAAAGAAAAAATAAACCCAGTAAGGTTAGTTGAGCTTATGGGGAACTTATGGTAAGGAGTGAGTGTATAACAGGAACTCAGACCGCCAGGAACTTGCTACACTTGCCTGCTGGCCCCTCTCTCACTCATAGCTTTGCTCCTTGCATCGCTTTTCTCTTCTTATTCTCTTTTCTCTTTCAGTCCATCTCATTTATTCAATTTCTACCTCCTCATAATATCCACTTCCTCTGGCCATCTTGGCTTCTCAGGCTTCATATTATATAAAATATAGTCAGTTCCCCCTGCTGAGAGGGACAGTCTCTCAGTATTCTTGAGGTCATCTTCCCAAGACAGAGACGAAGATAGTTCTGCTTATCTCTGCTTATCATCAGATGAAGCCATGTCTCCACAGCTTACTCTGCAGCACAGCCTTTTGAGTGGTTCTAGTCTGACAGTGATAGTATAGAGAGTGGATGTGGAGAACAATGACACCTACCTTACAGCTTGTGGACAAAGCAATTACCTTTAGAAGGGATGATGGAAGGAATGATAGAAAGGACCATGGGTAAAAAGAACAGACTTCAAAGGACAGTTATAAGTGAGAGTTAGGAATTGGAATCAGCTGGATGTAATGATCCATTAAATATGGAAAATAATGAGCAAGGAGGTTTCTAATGTCAGCCACAGAATAACTCATATTCCACCTACCCAAAGAAGGAAAATAAGAAAGGTTTTCAGATGAGTTCAAATTTGGATTTTGTAGAAAATCCCATCAGATAACTATAGATACTAGTTGACTTTCAAGAGATATTTGGACCAGAGATAGTCATTTATGACTACGCTTTTTTCTTTTTGGCTTCTGATGTTTTCTTTTACTTTTGCCTTCAATACTGCCTCTTTTTTCTCCTCATGTGCCTCCTCCGCTTTCTTCTTTTATGTGATCTTTTCTAATGGGCACAGATTTCTAGAAGTCCAGTTCTGGTTTCTCTTTATCTTCTGTATATACTCTTCCCAGGATAATCTCAACACATCCTAAATTTATAAATGCCACATTTATGCTTATATCTTACAAACTTATTTTCAAACTGAAATACCCGGTTGCCTACATTACTTCTTTATGTAGATATTTCACTGACATCTCAGACTCTTGATTTAAGTTTCCAACAGCCCACCCACCTTTAGTCTTCATTGGCTTATTAAAAAGCACTGTGATTTACTTATCTACACAAGCCAGAACTTGAGGACCATTCTTGATATTATCTTTATCTTATTTCCCTCAGCAATGCCTATCAATTCCATCTCCAAAATATGTCATAACTTCATTTTCTCCTTTCCACCTCTATTTCAGCTGTATTGGTCCAAACTACTATCTAAGAATTTTTTTATTTAACTATTCAATAACTTCATATTTCATTTAGAATAAAGTTCAAGTCCTACAGGATTACATGATTCTCACCTCTATTATTATACAGTCATATCATACCCTATTCTAGGTGTACAACAAGCCTCTTCCCATTTTGGAATTTATTCTTCAGGTTTCCTTTACCTTAAACAATCTTCAGTGGTCTGGCTCCTTTGAATTATATGTCACAATTGAATCAAGGGCTTTTTCCTGTGTCTAATACAAAGTAGCCCTGATCCCATCACTGTCACCTTAATGTCCTTTTTTCTTTCTCTATTTGTATAGCACTTTGCTCTCTGGAGTTTGAATTTATTTATCTGTTTGATTCAAGTTAATATTTCCATAATCACTCACTGAAATCTAAGCTTCATGAGATAGAGATGCTGCCCTTCTCATTCACTTCTCTATCTGTGGTGCCTACAACAGTGCCTGGTATATGTACTAAGTAATTGTTGAGTGAATGATTCAATTACTTCTTGCCAAAGACTCTTAATAGGTCCTCTCATTTTCACTCTTCCCTTTATGATACATTTTTCACCAAAAATCATCATTTTAAAATATAAAACCAATCACAACCCAACACAAATTTAATCTCCTTGATGGCCTTTAATATACTCAAAATAAGATTCCAATGAATTATGTTGATTTTCAATGCTTTTGTGCTTGCTTATTACGAATTACTGATCTTCTTTCAATTTGTTGATCATCCCAAACTGTCTTCTGGTCTGAATGCACTTCCCAATATTCCTTGCGTATTTATTACCTTCTCTTTCTTTAGATTTTGGTGTATTTCTTCAGAGAGGTCTTCCCTGACCTTTTTACTTAAAGTAAGTTCTCTATTTTTTTTCTCAACTTCTGTTTTTTTTTTTTCCTAGCCTTCACTAGTTTTTCAATTACTACAGTTATATATATATATTTGTATATTTGGTTTTCATCTGCCTCTTCTGCTGTCATGTAGTATAATCAGAGTAGCGATCAGGTCTGTCTTAATCCTCTTCGGTATCCTTAGTACCTGCCATGATACTTGGGATACTTGAAGATACTCAAATGTGTTTTAACTTAAATGATATCAAATGGTGGTAGAAGGTCTTGGCGTAAATGAGATTACTCATGGCTACAAACTAGAAGAAATTCCTAACTAAATCTAGCCTAAAGATGTGTGGGTCTTATTTGCTTATTTTGTGTTATAACGGCATGTTGTTTAAATGTTTTGGAATACCCTTAGGTATTATATGAAGGCTACAGTTTATCATAGTCCTCATCTATGAGTGGTTTTGAAATATTGTAGAAAGGACATCGGGGCACATTTCTTTGCCAGATATTAACCCCAGGAGATACTAGAGATCCAAGAGGTTACTGGATTGTAGAATGATTCAAGAGGCCCAGGAGGAGAGGACTTGGGAAGGAAGGAAACACATCTTTAGGATAATGGATATTTACTGACTTTTATGGAAGTATCTCAATATTAGTGGAGTTACTGCACTACTACTAGCATCCCTAGCTTAGCCCTTGTAGTTATTTGAGTTTCTGACCCCTCCTTATTTGGGATAAAAGAGAAGACAGCAAAGAACAGAGTCTTAGGAAACATCAAGGGCTGAGTAAAATACAGTAAACCCAGAAAGGAGCAGCTAGAGAACAAACAAGTTAAAAGAAAATGGTTTTCTAGTAGCTCAGGGAGGAAAGTACTTAAGGTGGTCACTTGTGTCAATAGATAAGGATGGAGAATTGTTTAGTTGGAGGGCATTGGTGACTCCAGAACTAAGAGCTTCAGTGGACTGAAACTTGATAGGCATACCAGAAAGAGAAATGGTGGGTGCAGTTGGCCAGGGGCACAGGGAAGGCATGAGGAAGTATGCTGTCTGTAGAGAATTGTGAAACAGCAATAAAACTGACTAAAGCCTGTCTACTGTTTAGTATCATTATGCCATGCTCCAGCAATTCCAAACACAGTTAAGGTTAAAATTTTTCTGTCCTCTGTTACCACTCTTAAAGACTCTTAAAGACAGGAATAGAGTTTGACAATTAGAAGAGGGCATGGGGTCAAGGGAGGATGAATTTATAAGACTAGGGAGTTTTGTGAATGCTTATATAATGAAATACCAGCCCAGAGGAAGTGATCCAGTTGAGTAGAGGTTATAAACATGAAGCCAATCTGAGGGCATACCCATTTCTCAAAATACAGGAATGATTTAGCCTTGAAAAAAAAGTAGGACCTCTAATTTTTAGGGGAAGAATCCTTCATCCTTAACTCAGAACTGTTTATTTATGGCAAAGTTATAGATCTATTTCATTTTTTAAATTCACTCACAAAATTTTGGTTATATTATTATATTAATAAGTTGTTTTCATTATATCCACTTAGGAATGATATTTCAAAAATAATACTAATATTCTAGATGGGACAACTACTAACTTATTTCAAGGATTTTATATATTTAATATAATATATATTTGGAATAATAATTTTAAATGTATAATATACATTTAATATAATGATTTTAAATGTATTGTGTTAATAGATATATTCTAATTTCTGACATTAAATTAATATATTTTGCATTTACACTTATTTCATACAGGTAACAAATATTGGGTATTCAAGGACACAACTCTTCAACCTGGTTACCCTCATGACTTGGTAACCCTTGGAAGTGGAATTCCCCCTCATGGTATTGATTCAGCCATTTGGTGGGAGGACGTTGGGAAAACCTATTTCTTCAAGGGAGACAGGTCAGTATACACTTATCATGAGAAAAACAGTTAATTGACTAGTTTTTAGAAAGCCAGCATTTCTAGACTATCAGAGGCATGAGCTGTTGATGAAGAATTTTGGTGGATTTAACACAGGAGTTGATGCAATTAAAAATTTTTTAATATTTCAAATAATATTTAAGATAAATCTTTCTCTGAATATTCAGCTAATATGACTTTCTTATGAATGTGTATACCTAGCATATGTTTTTTTTCATTTCCCCATAATTGCAACATGCTCAAAATACGGTGTAGGCAGTGTATATATGTATCCTTACAATGCCTTTTTTGGGGAATTTTACTGATTTTGTTTAGAAAAAAATACTTTTTAGCACAGGATTTTTGTGTTTTCATACTCAAAGTTAAATTTTTATACTTTGTATACAATAAATTGTGAAGACTTCCAAAGAATTTCAGTTTAGTCATAGATTCTATTTCTTAAGAAGCCATTTATTTAGATACCATAGTCAAACTATTACTAGGCTAAATACTTTTAGCTTGAAGTATAATATTTTTCCCAGGTATTTTATTTTTATTTTCCTCTTTTTTTTCCTTTTATGATATTACTAATGGAGTTCACAAAATGAAAGTTGTAGGCATAAAACTTACAATAGGACCAAGCGCATTGGTTCATGCCTGTAATCCCAGCACTTTGTGAGGCCAAGGTGTGTGGATCACTTAAGGTCAGGAGTTCGAGACCAGCCTGGCCAACATGGAGAAACCCCATCTCTACTAAAAATACAAAACTTAGCCGGGCGTGGTGGCACACACCTGTAATTTCAGCTACTTGGGAGGCTGAGGCATGAGAATCACTTGAACTAGGGAGGCAAAGGCTGCAGTGAGCCAAAATTGTATCACTGTATTCCAATCTGGCCAACAGAGTGAGACCCTGTCTTAAAAACAAAAACAAAACAAAAAACCTTACAGTAGCTATTAGGCAGATATAACCACATCCTTGCCTAATTGTTAACAGATATTACAAATTAAGTTGAAGCCTATGTTTTTTATTAATTTAAATAAATGTTAAATAGAAAAATATCAAAAATCAAATTTTAATTACACTATCACTAGCTAGCTCACAATGAGAACTTCATAAGTAGTCTTTATTGGTTTGTAGGACTTCAGTCTGCCATTGTTCTACCATTTATGCATACATTTTAAAAAACATACACACATATAAAATACAGTCTTCAATGTCCAACATGCCAATATCGAGTTTGCCATATTATCTTAGCATAAATTAACCCTACGCAATGTCTCCAAATCTAAGAGAAAAGTAAGTAAGGTTATAAACCTTGTTTATTTGGAAATTTACAATTTTTATTAGCAAATACTTTCAAACATTGAGCTTTATGTGTGAACAAAAGATCCTATAATTGGCTTCCATGAATAAGAATGTACACTTTTAAATTTATTCTTTGACTAACTTTATATGCAATATTCCTATATTTTCCATAGCAAAATGCTCATAGATTTTAATTAATTATAATAAAGCTAGGCTGTGCTAAAATATTTCTTACTAAATCACAAATTAAAAAGATATATCAAACAAAAATTTGATTAAAGGAGAAGATGCTACTTACCCCACAAAAAGAATAATAAAGAATAATGACTCTCAACAGGATATCAATGTAATAGAGAATGAAAGGGGAAGAACTTTATTGCCACTGCATAGTGACCACTAATAAAAATAAATCTACAAACTTATAACATATTCTTTAAAATGGTATAACCCTTAAGGTTGTTGAATTTATCAGCTGATTTTAAATGTACCCATGCAAGACTCAGTACTACACAGAGTTGCACATTTTTAATTTTTCTCAAAAAAGGGCAGAAATTAAAGGCTGAGAAGAAGAAGTTAGCTTATAGGGGACAGAAAATGGAAGCTTAGTTTTACATAACAGTTTTAATTAGCTTCATAGATGATAATAAAAATGGCCATTTCATTATCAGATAGCTCTTTTTCCCACAAAAGTAGGGATTACATTTAAAATGTTTCCATTCTCTAAATTTAGTACTTATTGGAACATTTGTTCAAAGAGTAAACATGAAGTACCTCAAATTTGTGAAATCAGTGGAGATTAGATGCCAAAAGCATAAAAGAAAAAAGACTATAGCAAATGGGAAAAGGGTTTTTAGTTAGTTTACTCCCTGCTTGAAAAGCTGCATGACAAATACGGCAAATGTGTAGAAATGCCTTTATTACTTTTAAGTTCTATATAAACGACTATGGTTTTGTATGTTTTAAAAAATTGAAAGCAGGATTTCAACTAATTTGCATGTGTGTGATCTTATGTAAGATGTCACAAGTTATAGATGTTTTATAAACAGATTACTCTATAGTCGTATAATTACATATTTCCAGAGTCAACAGCATTTATCAATAAATTTATTCTAGATTTAAAAGTAGATGAAAAGACATTAAACTCTCTAACTGAAGCTCAGAAACAACAATTTAGTTGTCACTTTTATATGAAAATTTATTTTTCATTATTTCTCCCCTCTTTACCCACTACCATTTTTCTGCTTACAAAAAAGCAAAAAGTTATGTTAACAGTTTTCTATTTCTCTAATACTAAGAGCAAAAAGGATTTTTGTATCTAGAACCGTTATAAAAGATTCAGGTCCTTAAAGAGATCAGGCAAATAACGGCTGTAATTCAGGTGAGTAATGGCTGTACCTGTGTAAAGCAGTACATGTAAGGCAATAGCGAATGACGAGTACTCCTGTGAGCCAGAAAGTGATCAAAATCCAGATCACTTCAAATAATCTACTAGGCAAACAAAGCACATCTTTAAATTAGATGCTGTCATACATCAGCCCTGAATGTTGTTCACTTCCTATCAAAATGTAGATACCCTCAATTGCAGCCCAAGGGTCCCCTTCCATCTCCACTAAACTGCCTGTTACAGTATGAACATGAGGCAGCCCATTCTATCCTCAGTAGCTCTAATGCCTGCTTCCTTAAGATTTCTGCACCTGTCCTACCCTAGCACTCATTTAATTGATTCAAAAATGCATTTTGGAACACAAAGTATGTGACATGTACTAGGTAATGAAGATGGAGTAGTAGAAAGAAAGACCACAGAGCTCCTGCTTTCATGACACTTAGACTGTGTTGGAGGAGACAAATAAAAAACAGTAAACAAATAAATGACCCTGATAATTTTCACAGTGAGAAATGCTACAAAGAACTAAAACAAGGTGTTGCCACGAGAGAGACTCCTGGTGGTAAGGATAGGTTGGGACTTAGTGTTGACCTGGGAGAAGGCCTCACTTGTGAAGGGGAAACCTGAGTGGAGACTTAGCCATAGAAGCTATTCAGGACAATTTGTTGCAGGTGGATAATATAGTCATGCAAAGGCAATAATTTAGGAAAGAAGTTGGATTGTTTAAAAACAGTGTTGCCTAGAGCATAGTGGTTAAAGTGGTAGGAGATGTCAAACTGGTCAATAGGGACCAGATTACACAGGGCCCCATAGCCCATGGCAAAGAGTTTGATTATTCTAAGTACAAGGAAGAGGCATTGGATGGTTTTCAACAGGAAAGTGACATGATCTTATATGTATTCACGAAGATTGTGCTGTCTTCTGTGTGAAAAATGAGCTGCAAGAGTAGAGGGTAACTGGGAGACTGTTGAATGACTGCAGGAAGACATGATGGTAGTGGTGGAGAAGCAGCAAAGTGGGTGGGTGCAGGATAATTTTGAGTGTGATAACAAGTTGTCCTCGAGGCTTGGATTTTAGGGGAGGAACAAATAAATCAGGACAACTACTAGCCTTTTCACTCAAGTAATTAAGTAGACAGTACCTTATCTGGAGATTTAAAAACAGCAACAACTACAACAAAAAAAAAAAAAACAGAGAAAGGAATATTAAGGGAAAGGGATTAAGAAATTGAAATGCCCATGCTTAACTGAGGTGCCTATTTATACACCAAGTGAAGAAGTCAAGTAGGTTGTTGGATAATTGAGTTTTCATCTTAATGGAAAATTTAGTTGGAGACACAGATTTCAGAGTTATCGACATATAAATGGTATTGAAAGCAGGAGCCCAGTTGAAATCTTCTAAGTATAGAGATAGCTAAAGAGAGTAGATGAAATGATGGTTCTTTAAATAAATCTGTAAATTCAGATTAAAATATCTAGTGTTGTACTATTTTACATACAGCATGGAACTCAGTCCCTCAGATTCCTACTTGCCCTTTTGTTAATACACCATGCTCTGGTACTTGGATATGTTTTGATCTTCATAACATTTAGCTTAAAATGCTATGTTTCTAAGTCATCTCTCAACATCTCACAATCATATCTAAGGCTCTATTGCCATATTTCATAAGAAGCGTAGTTGTTGAGAATTTTAAGGTATTTTCAAATAAAAATAACAAAATGTAGACCTACTTTGTTTTCTTTATTATCATCCCTAATAATGAAATAGAAAAATACGTTTATTTCCTCCAGATTAAGTGGTATGTTTATAAAGTAATTTCTTAATGTATATGTTTTTGAGTCATTCAAAAATACAGCAAAAACTGATAGATTGATATTGTCTATTCTTTTGCATTTTTAAGGCCGATCCTGAGGAATGGGATTTTGAGGCCTTGATTAAGAATGCAAATCTCAAAGAATCATCTGGCTAAAGTCAAAATTCTACGGTAGAGATAACTGATGAATCAGAAGAAAGAGCTATGATGTTCATTTATAATAGCTTTTATCACTTACTGACCCTCCTACACAAAATGTCAATGTTTTCCATGAAAATATCTATATTTTAAAGCCCCAAAATGGTTTATTTACATAGTGTTCTGATCTGAATATGCTAATTTACTTCTCGTTGAATCTATAAGCTTATTTTTCAGGGAGAAAAATTCAGTGGAATGAGCTTTGTTCGTGTTGTCATATGCTCAAATATGTTGGAAATTAAAATACAAAGCAATATTTATGAATAAGCTTCAGCACCTTTTATAAGACAGTGCTAACTATAGATAATTCTAATTGCATTCCAGTTTACTGGTTGTATATCAAAGCTGACACAAAGCAGACAACCTTTGGGCTCAAGCCTATGTTGAGTTTTTCTAAAATTGTAAAATGATTCCAAATTATTGTTTTGCATTATCTGCTAGGAGAGGGAAATGCTTTTATATTGACAAATTCATACCAGAATTACTTTCCTACAAAAGAGTGTAGTAAAATTGACATTCCATTAACATTTCCTTGAAATGAGATCTCTCTGAATCCTGTGAGTCTGGCATATAATATAGGTGCTTAGAAAAGCATCAGTGAGTGAAGTAATTTGTGAATGAACAGACTAAGGGAGAAAGGAAAGTTATACCCAAACAGTGAACACAAGTTATTTGAATGTCAGCATTGAGAGAGAAGAAAACACAGGCAGACACTAGCAGTAACATTTGAATTTCAATTCTACCACTTCAGACACAGTCAGGCTGACTAAGTCAATTGTCTTTGAATAATATGATGCCCAATGCTCTGTTATTGCTTGAATTGAGTGACTATTCATACTAAATCTATCGTTAGGACATTATTATAGAGAACACTGTAATATGTGATATAAAAGACTGTTAAGGAGTTTAAGCAAAACAAGATAATATATGTACATAAATTTACTTTATAACTATAAAACACTACCTAAAGTGTAGGTATTATTACATCAAAAGCATAACTACTTCTCAGAAAACTAATCTGGTTGCTAGGTATGTATTATTATTACTTAAATCACATGCAGGATGTGATACCATCATCCTCAGGATTTTAAGTTATTCCTAATTTTATTTTTATTACTATTATTATTATTATTACTTGAGAGATCTTTAAATTAGGAGCAAATCTCAACTGTATTAACCATTCATCACAGAATGTCCTGTGTTACAAGAATATTCAAAAATTATGTTTATTTAAATATTTTAATTTAAAAGTAAACATTTCCATGCACAAAATGTAAAAGAAAATATATTTTAGAATTGGTGGCATGCTACACTAATGATTCCACTTCACTGTCCTCTTCAGAAAGATGCAGTCCAGGCACCATTCTTTCAGCTCAGTGCATCTCCAAGAAGCTATTCCTGATCTGTCCATCAGATCTGTTCTCATCTTTCATGTGATGAGAACCTGTGACAAATACCTCTGACAGTTTCCCTTTTGGTATAAACTCTTCTTTTGGGTACTTCTTAGAACAATTCCTGAAATAATCTTTTTCCCATCTATGTCAACATTGAAGATTGAGGAAATGCATCTTCAATGGATGGAGGAATTCCAGATGTTACTCAAGTGATGTTTCTAGGAATTTGTAGCAAAACCTTCTACACATGACCCCAGAGCTCTGTAGGTAAAGACTCCTTTATAGGCCTGGCAGAGGAATATCCAAACTATAACATATTTATTTTTTTCAAATTTCAGAAAAAATGGCTACGTCAAAGATAATTTTTAAAAAATGTATCATTTCCCAAATATGTGTTGGTGAAACACTAGCTTTAGTATATCATCAAAGATGTGTAGTGGGTGAAAAAGCATTGACAAATAAAATTGGAAAACATATTTGGTGGCATCAAATGAATTTGGAAACTGCCTTCATGGTGAAAATAGCAGATACTTTTGAAATCAGACAAACATGGTTATACTTCTACTTATCATTCAATGTCCCCCAAGAATTCTCCTCTCTCAAATGGGGACAGTGATGACTATCTCATGGGTTTGTTGTGATTAAATAAAATAATGCATAGAGCAATAGGGCTGCCCAAAATAGATGATATCACTGTGAACTCCCAATGATTTTACCCTATTTTGTCAATCTTTGTGACCATTCAAAATATAAACTCATTTTAGTCTTAAAATATATGGACAATAATGAATGATCCAAAGTAGGGATGGTCACAATTTGTTCCTTGGAAGTCTAGGATTCTGTGAAAGTGGCTCAAGGACTACTCTGTGAAGGGATAAGAGTCTCTTGGTGAGCTCTGCTTTTACTTGTATTAATGTCTATACACTGAGTACTCCAATCAAGACCTGCCCTAACGTCTATACTCACATTCCCAATTTCCTCATCAGCAGCTCCACTTTGAAGTTTGAATTTAATGTAGCTAACACAAGATTCATGATTTCTCAATCTGTCTCAACTTACCTTCTCTTATTTCATTATCTTACTAAATGACAGCATTATTCTTCCAGATAATCAGACTCACAACTCTTGAGTCATACTCAGCTTCCTTCTCTTTCACATCCCACATCTAATCCATGAGTAAGTCCTCTGGCTCTTCTTTAAAATATATCCCAAATCCCTTGATTTATCATCAGGGCTATAGTTGTTGACTTCCTAGTCCGAGGATTATTGCAGTGACATCCCAACTGGCATTCCAGCTTCTGCCTTATCTCCTTCAAGCTATTTTACTCATAGCAACCAGTGTAGTCTTTTCAACAATTAGCCATAAGTTTAAGCTCCTCTGTTCAAAATATATATTGGCTTCCCATCTCTCTTAGAGGAAAGCCAAAAGCTCACTATAGTGTAAAGGCTTATCTAATTTTAAGTTCTGGTTCTCACTCTCACCTTGTCTCCCCAATACTAACTCAATTCCAGTCACCCCAGCCTCTTGTAGACTCAGGTACTCCAAGCACATGCCTGCCACAGGAATTTTTAATTCCTAGCTCCTCTGCCTGGAATGTTCTTCTCCCAAAGACTGCATGTATTGCTCCTCACTTTTCTCTGCTCAGATGTCGGCTTATCAGAGAGGACCTCTCCGTCCACCAATTTAACATGGCTTTTGATATTCCTAGATAACTTTATCTGCTTTGCTTTTTTCATAGCGGTTATCACCTCCTATCATAGTAGGCATTTATTGATAAATTGGTTTATTTCCCATATCCTTACATATCCTATAATGGTGAGATAAGTGAGAGCCACAGCATATCTGTGTTGTGCAACGTTGAATCTCTGGCCCCACCATAATGCCAGAAACATAATATATATTCACTAAATATGTACTGAATGAATAAATAAATCAAGATTCTGCTTAAAATTATTTTTAAAAATGTTCTGCTTCCTAAGAAAGTTTTTTTAAAAACTCATGAAAACCTCATATATATATACATATATATATATATATATATATGCAGGTTGATGATGTCCATATGAATTATAAATATACTCAGCTAGCACTTTTTATTCATTTTAGCAGACTGAATAAAAACTTATTTTTAACACGGGCAGGATATGAACAATAAGATGTCCATTTTTAATATATGCAGGAGAAGAAACAGAATAAATGTCTTATGCTCATTGTATTTCAGTGACTTAAATCAGAGCTTGCCAGTTGGAGTTCTGTAAATCATTAATAGGTGCACAAGTAACTAAGTGAAGCACACAGCAAAGGTCTAATAAATGTTAGTTATTATTGTTTGTATGCATAACCTTTCCCTATATGTTATTGTTGGTGGTGGTGTTGTTTTTATCCTTTGTAGATATTGGAGATACAGTGAAGAAATGAAAACAATGGACCCTGGCTATCCCAAGCCAATCACAGTCTGGAAAGGAATCCCTGAGTCTCCTCAGGGAGCATTTGTACACAAAGAAAATGGTATGCAACATGTGCTTTCTACATTTCATAAGTTTGCTGTCTTAGTAACACATTAGGCTTTTTCACTCTGCTAAATTAAACCATTGGAAAGTGCTATACTAGAGCTATGTAATACTATGTTTCCATTTATATTAACTTTCTTTCCTAGATTTACATGTAATATTATGCTGTAGACATTTTTTAACGTCAACTTATTTTAGTTTGTAAAAAGTCATTAGAAAAAAATACAGATAATAGTTTAATATGGAAGTTATGTATACCTTTGAAGTGACCTATATTTCTATTATAATTCCTGTAAAGATTATAATAAAAATACATGGGACAGAACTGGTCACAAGGAAAATATAGGTGCCAGTTGAGGTGTTATATCTGGTAATAATGCATATTGAGGATTATAATTTTTATGTATTTTTTGACTTAGAGTGTCAGCAATCAAGGAAGATTCCAACTCTATGTAGTGAGAATAGAGTGGATGTATAATGGCATAACAGCAAGAAACAAATCTGAGAGCTGCCTCCTTTACTTGCTACTCAGGATTTCAGATTCTGCTATATCCCGAGTGGAAAGTTAGCCAAACCATGGATAATCCATACTCCCCTGTCTTTTGGCAGATATGAAATGTGAACATACCTCTTGTCATCCAGGGATTACTAAATAGGAATAAATCATAATAATTTGAAATTGACTTTAAGTGCAGTATTTCTGAACAAAGGAAAGGAAAATGACATTCTGAAATAGAGAAAAAATTACCTCATCATCAATAGGAACCATAAGAAAATAGTGTATTATGTATGTCCTCAATAACAAGAGTCTGTGACATATTTTCAATATAAGCAAAAATAGGCATCTTTTGTAAGAACAAAACTAAGTGCATCTATGGGCAGGGAAGAAAAAGCAAGGTTAATGAAAGAATCAGGGGAAAATAAAAAAATCATACTACATTACCACTGAAAACTGTGATTGACCATAGGCATATTGGAAGATTAAGAGAACTCTACACTGACAGTGGCACGGGGCTTACACCTGTAATCCCAACACTCTGGGAGGCTGATGTGGGCAGATCCCCTGAGGTCAGGAGTTTGAGATCAGCCTGACCAAAATGGTGACACCCCGGTCTCTACTAAAAACATATAAATTAGCCAGGCATGGTGATGTGCACCTGTAGTCCCAGCTACTCAGGAGCCTGATGCAGGAGAATTGCCTGAACCCGGGAGAAGGAGGTTGCATTAAGCTGACTGAGATCAAGCCACTGCACACCAGTCTAGGCAAGAGCCAGACTTTGTCTCTAAATAAATGAATAAAAGAAAGAGAGAGAGTGAGAGAGAGAGAGAGGGAGAGAGAGAGGGAGGGAGGGAGGGAGGGAGGGAGGGAGGGAGGAAGGGAGGGAAAACTCTATACTAGCATAAACTTGAACGAACTGAGAACCAGGATAAATGCATACCAATAAAAAAATTGAAGTGCATGTACTTTTTTTTGAGCATTGCTGTATATGTAAAGATGTACTACTATATTCTGTGTGATAGTGTCCCACAAGTGGAACACTGTAGGCAGAGGCAAAGTCAAAAAGAACCTTGAAGTCCTTATCAGAGTACTTGCTGAGAAAAATAATTTTTGTGTATTCTATTGGCTCAGAAAATTAAAAGACCAAGTTAAGGTATGATTTGTATGTGACAAAAGAAGAAATCCATAGGACAGTGAGACTAAGATTAAAACATAACTTTCTGAGATAAAAGGGAAAGCAATAAGAGAATGAAGGAAGTCACAATAAAGTCACACTGAAGGCAGTAAAATCATATTAATAATGTGCCTTAAAACTTAAGAAACTACACAGATAAAAAGGACAAAGAAATGAAAAAGTGTGAAAGATGATCACATGAAAGACAGAAAACTGACATCATTCCTAAAAATTATAGCTGTCACCAAGGAGGAAACTTGAACAATGATATAAAAAGTATTTTTAAAGAATTAAATAATAAAGGGGGGAGCTTTTTTGAAAGTAAACCAAAGTGGCTTGTTACACTAGAAATTGGATAAAACCAATTTCTTGCTAACATGTACAGTGGTCTTACCACTGCTGTACACTACATTTTGTTAAAGAGTTATCACAGACTATAAAAATATATACTCTGTAAGTTTGACTCTAACAAATATTTCCACAAGATTCAGTTTATTTTTTCATATGTATTAAATAGCAACTTCTTACTAGTAAACACCTAATGGTCAAAAATAGAACACAGAGGTACTGCTCTAAAGGGACATCTGCTAAGCTGTATAATAGTACCAGCTGTGGCGAATTTTGTCTCATTACATTTTTAGGATGAAACAATAGAAAAGTCCAGTAAGGTTCAGTCAAGCATAAAGGATCATGAAATAAAATATAGTCTCATTAATTTATTTTCCAGAATTTCTCAATGAAAATATAGGTAAGAATTCACCAGAAGTTGTTCTTCATAAGCATGTATACAAAAACATATGTCAAAGCTGCTTTTAAAAGGAAAAAAATATAAATACCTAAACATTGATTCAACCACCGACCTTTCATAAATGAAAAATCCTAAATTATTGAACAAGATGAATTTTGCAGAATCAAGGTTTGACATATTTCTATTACCAAGATTTTAGGCTACTTCTTTTCAAATGTTTATACTATCTATCTCCTAGTAACTAGACACTTTTTTTTTTTTTTGAGACAGGGTCTCATCTTACTATGATGCCCGGGTTAGTCTCCTGAACTCCAGGGCTCAAGCAATCCTCCTGCCTCAGCCTCCCAAAATGCTGGGATTACAGGCATAAGCCTCCACATCAGGCCTAGACTTCTCATTTGTAACAAGTATATTCAATAACTACAATTCTACTTCTATATGTGGAGTGTGTTACTGTAAAATTTGGCCTGCAGAACCGCTTAGTATGTAAATAGAAACTTCTTAACTTTTGTGTAATGCCCAGTAGCTCTATAGTAATTGGCTTTAGCTAAAAATTGAAGATGAGGACACTTCCAGCTGTTGGTTTCGAGTTTATAATTATAAGAAGTACATTCACCCATTTTGTAGGTCTAATTCTAGATCAATGTCATTATTCAATTATGATCATCTAAAGTACTGTTATTTGGCAGGCACTTAAGTTTTCTTCATCCAAGCTTGTTGAGTAATTATATTGAATTTTATTAACGTGATCAAATACCAACTCCGGACTGAAAAACTTGAATCTACATACACCTGTTTTCACTTGGCAAGTTGCTCCCATTGCAAAACTGTCCTTTGAAACTAAAAGCAGCAGTAGGTTTTTATGGCATTCAACAGAATGATTTCCAAGTGAAGTGACCAAAGTAATCATCTGTCCTATCTGAAATTTCTTGAGAGATTTCAGAGTTCTTCATTCAAGAATGATACCTATCACACCCTTGGATGTTTAAAAGACAGGAGCCTTCTAAAGTACCCAATCTTAGAAAATTAAGTGTCCAGGCTCTAGATCTAGATCAAGATTTAAAACTTGTGTTCACCAGAATATGAGCATGTTATTTTGTCTCTGATCCTCAATATCTTGGGCTAAAAAGAATGGATAATAAATTCTACCTGATGGACTACTTGTGAGGATTAAAAGAGAGGCCATATACTAAACTTTAACACAATGCTTCTTCCATAATAAGTCCTCAATCATACAGGAAAAAAATCACCTTGATTAATGACTGTAAACTATGAATTACGCCCTCTATCAAAAATAGATAACTCCCAAAATATAGTTTTAAGTAATTATAGCATTAAAACATTTCTTCTTGATTTTTTGATTTTTATCTCAAAGGACAAATTAAGTCTAAGTACTATAGTCACACAGAAACTTGACATGAATGAACTGTGAACAGAAAGAAAAAAACTGGATATGTGCCCAACAAAAACATAAAATTTGGACAATAGTTCTAAGAAAAATGTCTATAGTTGTAGTTCAATCATCGGGAGCTTACAAAGTCTATTGTATGCATTCATAATGTTTTAGAAAATAAATTGTATGTATTGCTGAGTTACTTGAGCCTCCCACATCCCACCTCCTCCCCATGAAATATAAGGTACTAGGAAGTATTAAAAATAGAATTGTAGATTTATGTTCAACTTTATTCTTAAAATAATGAATAATGGCTTTTGGGGTTCTATAAAATATAGCTAGGTGACACAAATATTAAATAAAGTTAAATAAAGAGGACAAAAGGAGAAGGAACAAAATGTTTATGACTTAGAGCCAGAAATGAGGTTAGAGTACGAAATACTATGAATCCTCTTTACTTGTTAAGATTCCTTGCAGACAAATGAAAGCCTCTCCAGTTTTATGATTTAATTTTATTGTGATTTCTCATCAAAATTACAAAAGGAAGCCTGTTGTTTAGAAGGAGTACAGATTCCTGATACTAAGATGATTAGAAATTTCACTTGAGGTGTTTCATAGAGAAGCCTCTTTATCATATATTGAACAATGTTCCCAGTAACAGCCCGAGGGTAAACAGGGTTTCAATTTATAAGGCTGTTTCAGCATCTTTCCATATAGGTTGATATTATCACACTAATGTGTAATTTTGTAACAGCAGTCCTATAAGCCAGCAAAAAGATAAGGTTCTCTTTTCTAGCTTGGAATACTAGTAGATTGCCTAGCATGGTCTTTGAGCAGTCCTCTGTAAATAATATTTCTCTGTCTGGGCTGAGTTTTCCATAGGCATTAGAGGGCGTCATTCCTGGAGCACAGCAGCCACAGCCATCTTAACAGACAGCTGAACCAAAAATAGTGCTTTCTTCCTATAAAAAGTGAATGTCCTTAAAACACATCTTTTAAGACATAGCCTATTTTAATAACATTTCTCTACAAATACACTTTCACAAATAAGTGGTACCTGTGTATGTGTATGTTTTTCCCCCTAGGCTTTACATATTTCTACAAAGGAAAGGAGTATTGGAAATTCAACAATCAGATACTCAAGGTAGAACCTGGATATCCAAGATCCATCCTCAAGGATTTTATGGGCTGTGATGGACCAACAGACAGAGTTAAAGAAGGACACAGCCCACCAGATGATGTAGACATTGTCATCAAACTGGACAACACAGCCAGCACTGTGAAAGCCATAGCTATTGTCATTCCCTGCATCTTGGCCTTATGCCTCCTTGTATTGGTTTACACTGTGTTCCAGTTCAAGAGGAAAGGAACACCCCGCCACATACTGTACTGTAAACGCTCTATGCAAGAGTGGGTGTGATGTAGGGTTTTTTCTTCTTTCTTTCTTTTCCAGGAGTTTGTGGTAACTTGAGATTCAAGACAAGAGCTGTTATGCTGTTTCCTAGCTAGGAGCAGGCTTGTGGCAGCCTGATTCGGGGCTGACCTTTCAAACCCAGAGGGTTGCTGGTCCTGCACATGAGTGGAAATACACTCATGGGGAAGCTTCCATGATGCACAGTATCTGCTGTTCTTCAGTCCTTTGTCTTTCTTTGTCATTCAGTTCTAGGCCTTTCCTCTGCACGCTCAATGCCCAGTAAAATTTCAGGATTAACTAAAGAAGAGGAAAAAAAGAAGAAAAGATTCTTCTTAAAAATTTCTAATATTATTTTTCCTTCTGAAGTCTGAGCCCATTTCTGGGGGGACTATAAAAAAGCAAATCAAAAAACCCACGATTTTTTTTTTTTTTTGCTTTAAAACAAAGGGAAAAAAGAGTTTAAACAAAAACCCCACAATTGAACTTCCAGGAAAGTGTGAAGACCCAAAACAGCTTTGTCTCCAAAGAAGATAGCTCTCTGACTGCTTTGGATAGTCTCCTACGCACCATTTTGTCAGGTGGGAGATTTGGAATACATATGCAGGACGTTAGACTGTTGGGACAGCCATTTTCCAACAACCAAGGGGCCAAAATATCTGCAATATAGTAACAGCCTTAATAATACATCCATTTTTCGTTTTATACAGCTGTTCTCAGCTATGTCCTCAATGTTTCATCACATTTATATCCATAACTATTTTCAAACATGACCTTTTAATTGTTTTTGAAGTATTTCTAAACCTCTTCTTTCCACCTTATGCCTCCATCATTGTGATAATCTTCCCAAATTGTATTAGGCCATTGCCCCAGGCCTTCCATGGGTCTGTCAGGAATATTCATGACAAAGCAGATCAAGAAGCAGTATGTCTCTGAAGTGGATTACTGTGACAGTTACTTTACAAGGATTTGTGACACTAGTAATATACCTGTGTGACCCTTTGAGAACTATCAGACCAGCTTTCAGAGTCTTAGGATTGTTGGTCTCGTGAACTGATAAATTATAGAACTGGGCAATGGTAAAAACAGTCACAGGTTCAAGAAGTTCAGGTTTTTAAAACAGATATCCTATAATGTCATGTAATTTTTAAATGATTTACACAACTACATAAATGCATTTATAACAAACAGAAATGATGCTACTTGCCAAATTTTTTCTGGCAAATAAAAAAGGTATTTTATTAAGAATCTCATAAGACTGAAATTTTATTTGAAAAACTGGTAACAGCCTAACTCTTCTTCTTCTTTTTTTTTTTTTTTCTTTTTTTAGGCATACTGAATTTCTGTTTTAAAATCCATTGCATGAAAATTCAATTTGCCTTGGTATATGCAGTTAGCATTGCCATTTTAAAAATGAATTAAAATGATGACTCTGAAGTTGCATGAATATCTTCCAGTGCATTACCTATTGCATGTCCACCATAGTTCTCAAAGGGTTAGTGTGGCTTCTGGCATTTAGCCATCCATTTGATCACTGACAGAGCCAAGAGACCACCAAAGCATTTCATTGTTGAGTGTAATTTGTCCTAACAGCAGTATTGTCATTTTCATGTGACCTGCAGAGCAGGTTTGTATCAATATTTTTTTCCTAGAGAAAAGTCAGCAACTGACAGACCTCTTTATTGATTTTTAGGAGCTGCTTCTTGCAGTGAAAGGCTTTACAGCCACTGGGCTGTGAACTTTATTAGAGATGGTCAGAATGAATGCACCCCATGAGTCAGACATTGGCTTTGTGTGAAAGCCAGCTTTGAGGGGATTAGCTTTTGAAACAATGAACAGCTTGCCTTGAACTTGATTATTGATCTATTGACTGTCATTAACAACAACTTAAACATTGTCTTCTGTGAAAATTTTCCTTGAAGAGTCCTGTTCTTTGTCTTTGCCCTTTGACCTTTAACTTGCAAACTGGCACAAACTGAAGGAAATCTGGTGTTGCTTCTCCATTGGATTAGTTGTTCTATAAAACCTAGTAAGCATGAGCTGTTTCCTTAGAGTGAAGAGAGTGTTGTTGGCAGATCTGCAGATGGACACTTTGCTCTTTACATGCACACTCTGAAAATGCCCTATAGGTAGAAGTGAATTTTAATTTTATTTTAATATAATTTCAAGTCTAAATTCATCATTTTAGTACAAATTACAAAAACTATAGAGAAAAAAAAAAAAACCTCAAATACTTGAATGGCCAGTGTGGCTTTTATATAAAGCAGGAATTTTATACTAGTAAAAATTTCTTACTCATTTGCTAATATAACACATTTCCAGATGATTTTTAATGAGTGTAGGTATACATTCTTATTTGGAAATGGATAGTTTGGCTGCCTTGAATTTATATTTATACTCAACATAGCATGAAAAGTAGAATGCCTTTTGGTTAAACTACATGTTTATGATTTGGTTGGGGAAAATATTTTATAATTGTGGGTGGCATGCTGCAAAGCCTTGCAGATTGTTATTTCTTACAACCTGAGCATATATACTGTGAGGCTAAGAAAACAGAACAGCAGGAAAAGAATGGCTTTACAGTGAAATATTATACAATGTAGACGATATTTTAAGATGATATTGGAGATTAAGTACGCAAGGGCCAAGAAAGCAAGAAAAGAAAACCAGAGTCAGCCCTGTAACTTTACTTCAGTGCTTCCATTCTAGATGATGCTGATATTATAAAGAGTTAGTCACTGCTGCTAAACATGGAGGACTATATACATAAGCTCGTTTATACAGTGTTTGCTTGTGGGAGGGTTTAATCCTTTTAGGGCCTTGATGTCAAGAAAAAAAATAACTGGAAACTATATTTTGCTAAATATAGAAATGAGGAACTATGTCATTTTGGGACATGTGCAAATCATTGAGAAACTCCATCAACCTGCATTGAAAATTGATTTTTTCCCTCTAAAATGAGAAAGAAACTGAATAAGCAATCTATTGCCTCTTCACTCATTCATCACAATATCCTGATTCGTCATAAGATTATAAGCATATAAGGGCTAGAAAATAATCATAGCATTAAGAAGGAAGGAGTCTATCATTATGTTTGAATTCTGGCAAATGTCATAAATAAGGGTTGGGTAATATTTACTTGAATATGATACAAGATTTACATGATAAGCAAAGGCATATATGGCTGCTTTTTTGACTAAAACATTTCAGTTATCAGGCTGTATTATTATAAGAGATAAGAAAACAATAAGTATAATGTAATCACCAACACTGGGATTCCATTTGTTTATTGTACTGCAGGTACTTTGTGGGTATGGTTCCTGACTCCTCTTCCACTTGAGGTTTGGGGGAAAAAGTCTCAATCCAAATGGAACAGTGAAAAGAAAAGTAACTGATCTAGCACATAAGAATAGTGATTCAAAAACCAATGTGAAATAAATTTCCATAGGTCAATAATACAAGATGTCAGTTCAGTATTCGTAGAGATATGCAAGGCATCAAATATTTTTATCACACCATTACTAATAACATGAAAAGCTCAGACATAGGATTTCCCAAATTGAAATGAAAACACATTCATGCTTGCAAAAATAATTCTCCTTCTGCTTCATTTCTCATTACTTTATCTAATGTAAACACAAATGTAAAGGTAATGTTCTTATAAAATGACCATATAGTTAAGAATTTTAGTAAAATATTGTTGCTCTGCATATTATTAAACACAATGAAGTATTAAAATAGCTGATCAGTTTGAATTTTCTGCAAAACAGTAATTCCACCTCAGAATTGTAGATAAGGTTGTGAATTTATTGACTCATTTCAGAACAGTGTCTGTTGACATGGCAGTCAGACCAGGTGAATACAGACACTTTCTGATTGCAAAGGTTATAGAGATAAATTAGACAGCATTATGTGTTACTAGCAAAGACAACTTCTGTTATAAATCAGAGGGCAAGGCTTTTCTGAATCAGATGTAATAAATTACTAAGTAATGATTACCAAAAAATAATTACTAAGTAATGAAGGATATAGACCGGCTTACTGAAATAAGTAAGTGTTATATTTAATAGATTACCTATAATCTTTTTTTGTTAACATATAATTTGGCCATTTCATATACTATATGCCTATTTTCATTACTTCTCTGTGGGTGATTAAAAAACGCAATGTGGTGGATAAGAACATCATCTAAAATTCACTGCTAGTTCCAGTGCATAGATGATGGTATATATACTGGATGATAGAAGTAGTAATATTTGCAAGTTCTACATATTATGGTGATATCTCTGGTGTGGTACAAAAGCACGCCCACACTTCATGAATCTTACAGTGGAATAAATAGTGTGTCAATATTAACTAAACTCAAAGTGCTATCTGAAGAGGAATGGATATTATAATCAAATAGACTGAGTTAAACTGAGTCACAAAAAATATACATATTTTAAGTTTTTGGAATTATTTCCAGAAACTAATAAAGAGAATTATTTAGTGGTAGTGCCAAGTCTGTGAGATTGTAGCATATACTGAAACAATTTTCTGGATGGTGGTAAGGTCTTTTTTAGCAAACACAGTAAAGAGCTTATTTCATTTCTGATGCTTTCAAGGGCATATTCCAAAGTATCACAGATGTCAAATAGAATATGCTATCTAAACCAAAAATGTAAATTTCTGATGACCTATTACAGCAATCTCAGCCAATATGTAATATCACAAAATGTGTCAAGTCAATCATATTAGAGGATCTACTCATTCAGATGGATTTCATGCACCATCATGATGTTGATATATTGTGACCACAGGAAATAGATGCCAGAATGTATGTAGCTAAGTTACAGGTTCCACTCTACCTGGGAGGGAATCATAATTACATCAGGAAATGTTTAACAGTTATGTCTTAAAAATTAGAATTTTATGTAATAAAGAAAGCAACCAGGAATAGTACCACACCATAAATATGAAAACTAATTATTAATAAATATAATAGAAATGGAGGAGGGGGGAAATGAGTCTTTTGTTAAATATAAAGACAATCTATAGCACTCCTTCATAATACAACTGGAAATTTTACTTTAGCAAGCATAAAATACTGGAGAAAAAATGCAATTTCAAGCTCTTCACACTACCGATGATTATGTGATATATCATTGTATATATTTAGCCAGTGGTCATTAGATGTTACCATGCTTAAACACATCTGATACTCATGCATTGCCTTACAGGCTAAAAATCTAAGAGGTAGGTATTCAGTAACCTCAGTTGGAAAGACATATAATGTTAGAATCCCCTGAAACAAGCCATTTCCCTGAGATAGAAATTTACCTCAATAATCATGTAACCTAAAACACTTGGCATAGTAGCGAAGAAGTTGCCTTAGTGTTCTAGTCTCATCTAATTGTGACCTGAAATCATTTTCCATTTTTTTCATTGGTGTGATTTTGACACAATTCTGAAATATTTCAGGTAAGATTAATAACATCCAATTACAAATATGTTTCAATATTTTATACATATGTCTACTTTGAAAGTTCAACCAATAGTATAGAAAACTTAAGAATGAACACTGATTAGACATAGTCACAGAAATTAAATGAAAAATGATGTTGTAAAACTCCTGTCAAATTTCTAGTAGAATACAGAAGTACGTAGCAGTCTTCAATTTTAGACACAATTATGAGCTTATACCTGAACGTGACATGCATCATTTGTTAGAACAATACTAATTCTTTATACTACAGTAAGGATACAAGATCACAGAAGCTTCGAGTTGTAACAAAGACTTCACAGGCATTCATAACTAATGCTTTCTAAGGAAAATGAGGGCATAACCCAGAACTCGTGGTCAGTGCATCGTGAGTATAAAAGTTATGTATGAAAGGCATTTATTTATAGAGATTTCTGAGGATTCTATGCCTTTTCAACTTAAATATCAGTGTGTCTTAGAATTTATTTTATATATCATTGGACTAGGGGTAATATTCAAATGTGCACTCAACATGTCCTCACATTAAAAGGCACATTGAATAGTATAGGAAAATACATCATAAACTAGAATGTTGTGCAGATTCATATAACTTTGCCATGTGCTCTGCTATGGAGCTGGATGTATATGCCCTTAAGAAGGGATAATAAATCAATTAAATATAAATATGAAAATGTACTTATGTTGGGTAGCTTAGCTTCATAGCAAAATGTCATTAACCTTTATTTCACAGAGAAAAACTGAAAGAAAAGAATGGCGAACAAGAATACAATGATAAACTTGGCTTATAGAGGTGTTTCTTGTGAATTTTTTCCACTTGTTTTGATCCATGAAAAAATACAGACATTTCTGTAGTATTTCGTCTGTGGGTAGGTTGGATCCCAGGTAGAATACTTTTTGACACAGGCCTTTTTATACATACTTTATATGTGATAAAGCTTTGATGAGATGTGACTGCATGGTAGGATGCATTTTCCTAGGATAGGATATGGTGCTGCTTGTACTTGCCACCTTTTATATGAATGTATGTCGCTACATTGGACTGTCTTGCCAAGATATGGATGAATAAAGCCTGGTGTGAGCTGTCTATTTGAAACATCACTAGGATGCATGTTTCATTTGCTGTTACGTAATGCCAATTTGAACCTGTTTCCTCTCTATATATTGACAACCCATTTGTTAAGATAAAATATACTTTGCTTGAATGAACGATTTTGGTAGTAACGTGAGAGTTATCCTTAAATCAGTGTTATAATTTTTGCTATTACTGAAATACCATCACAGAGGCCACTTGGCTGTCTTCTCACAGCTCTTTAGTATACACCATTGCCTGAGCAAAATGAGGTTTTTAGGTATTTTTGGCATTTACTTCTTTTATAGCTGATGTGGAATCAACTATTCCTTTATATGTTCATAAGTACAAAATTTCACTATCTTAATTACTTCCAAACAAACATAATTTCCAAGCAAGTGTGTGTGTGCCTGGTTTTTCTGCTCCTCCAATTCTGATATCATTATTTGTTTGCCTTCTGTTTGTCACCCAAAAATACAGATATTTGGGAAAGATACATCTTATTGAGTTGTTTTATGCAGTCTCTGTCTATATTTGCATTTCCTTCTATTCCTACCTTGTCTTTTGTCTTTTTAAACACAGGTTTGATTTTCCTTTCACTTTGTGAAAACCAGAATTGAGCAGCATTGTACATCAGAGATGGTACCCAGGAAATGTCTTTGTTCCTCGGTATTTTTCTTCAAAAATTCCATGCAAAGACAATCCTAGTAAAGTTCACGTACGTCCCAATCTCTCTCATTGGCTTCTAACTTTTTATAGAGCTATTTCCCTGAGAAAAGAGAAATGCTGAGTATAATGGCTATTATCTGTTGACAAGATAGCTAAATAAATTTGCTTTTGGAGAATGTAATTTAAATAATTATACAGGAACGTAAATCTCTCAGTAGAGTGTTCTGTTTAAGGTACATCATGGGTACATAAATGCCTAAAACCTTCATCCTTTGGTCTATTTCTCTTTATGTGTAAAGTTGCATATATATTAGAAAGAGAGATAGAAGAATTCGGGGTGTTATAGAGGCAGCTTTTTGCTGCTTTGGTTTTGACTGTATCAGCATTTCTGTTGTGGACCTCTATTTTAAGGGGTTTTAGAGACTCAGCCATAAAAATTTGTGTTAGGCTTAAAAGCCTTGAAATTTTTTTTAGATATCTAATTTTAAACAAATATATCTTGTTTTTATATTATAGGAGGGAAATAAACGAAGTTTACTAGTTCAATTTTGCGCTAACGTACTTTTAATAAACTTAACTTTTTAAAGAAAAACAGAAAATCAAATTAGTTCATAGTTGGTTGATGGTTTTATAAAGAATCAATTATTGACCTTGAGAAAATTGCCTGCTTCATCAGTATAGTAACCTGTCTTTAAGTTGTTTTAAAACTTGTATACCTATATTAACATTATCTTGATTCCAGTGGTGGATCAATGTGATAATGCAGATTTATGACATCCATATAAGCTATCTGGTAATATAGATTTGGAAATATATAGTATATATGAGATATATATATATATTTATTTATTTACTAGATAGATTAAGGAGAAAATGCTCCCACAAACTTAGTTTGTCAAATACCGTATATTTAAAAAATTGCACAGACATTTATCATTCAGAGTCAGAATGAGATGCAAGTAATTGCAAAGGGAAGTTGTCTCTTGGGTAAACAACATGCATTGTATAGGTTCTTATGAAAATAATTTTTCCTTTCTATATTGTGGCTATGGGAAAGTAAAAGAATTAAAATTAATGCAGACTTTATATAAATAACATTCAACTGTGAAGCAGAGAGAAACGCCAGGAAATTAAATATTTAGGCCATTATCTTGTGGTTGTCTGACAATACTTTACCTTTATTTTAATTCCCCATGATGTTTTTAGTTATGGAGAGAGTATTAAAATCTCGATTTTAAGTTTCTGCATTGTTCTCATTACACTCACACTACTTCATTAAGTTCTTGATAATATGTAGTCTTCTGTGTGCAAGGAAAGAAATAAATAACACATTTATTTGCTGAATGAGTTTTAAGGTGTGCAAGTTGTGGTGATTATTTGCCCACACAGGATTCTATACATTTATACCATCTTAACTCTGGCATATTTTTTTTTCAGATAGCTTCTACTGACAAACACAAAGCTTGTTTGTGTGCAAATATAAGGCTAAATAAATGGTGCTAAAGTGTATTATGACTGTCAGATAAAATCAGGCAAAATTTTGTGGTGCTTAAATTAATTTTTTCATTGATTTTATTGATCAGTGCATTGAACAGTGTTTATTATTCACAAGTTGTCTTTTATTAGTAAATCAAGGCCTCATAGCACATTGTTAAATAAAGTGGTTGACAAGTCTATGTAACAGCTCACCAAGCTACTATCTCTTTTAACTCCTTATAATGTTGCGTCATTAAAGGTCAAGGGGACATGCTATTAATCTCATTGCTATAGACCATTAACATGACTGAACTTTTCCACAAAGTACTTATGTTTACAATGCTATAACCCTTT